CAAAACAACAATGATGGCTGCAACCAAAAAATAGCCAGGTGTTGTGGCAGGCACCTGTGGTCCCAGCTACTTGGGAGGCTGAGGCAGGAGACTCATTTGAGCCCAAGAGATATCTGTGATATCACGGCACTCTACCCAAGGGGATAGCTTGAGGCTCTGTCTCCAAAAAAAAAAAAAAGAGTTTCCCTTTCTCCTCATACCCAACAGTGTTTATCTTTTGTCTTTTAGATAACAGTCATTCTAATTGGGATGAAATATCTCATTGTGGTTTTGATTTACAGATTTGCATTTCTCTGATGATTAATAATGTTGAGTATTTTTCCTTATATCTGGTGGCCTTTTGTATGTCATCATCTTTTTTTTTTTCTTTTGAGACAGGGTCTTATTTTATTGCTCAAGCTGTCATAGTAGTTCACTGCAGCCCCAAACTCCTAGGCTTAAGTGAACCTCCTGCCTTGGCCTCCCAAGTAGCTGGGACTACAGGCACAAGTCACCACACCCAGTTAATTTTCCTATTTTTCACAGAGATGAGATGTCACTGTGTTGTTGTGGGCTGCTCTTGAACTCCTGGCCTCAAACAGTCCTCCTGCCTTGGCCTCCCAAAGTGCTAGATTCGTAGGCATGAGCTACTATGCCTGGCCTTCTATAATATCTTCTTTTGAGAAATGGCTACTTGAGTCTTTTGCCCATTTTTTATTTATGTATTTATTTATTTGTAGAGACAGAGTCTCACTTTATCGCCCTCTTTAGAGTGCTATGGCGTCACACAGCTCACAGCAACCTCTAGCTCTTGAGCTTAGGCAACCTCTAGCTCTTGAGCTTAGGCGATTCTCTTGCCTCAGCCTCCCCAGTAGCTGGGACTACAGATGCCCACCACAACGCCCGGCTATTTTTTTGTTGCAGTTTGGCCGGGGCCAGGTTTGAACCCACCACCCTTGGGATATGGGGCCGGTGCCCCACCCACTGAGCCACAGGCACTGCCCCTCATTTGCCCATTTTTAAATCAGATTATTTGGGGTATTTTTGCTATTTAGTTGAGTTTTTTATATAGTCAGAATATTAACCTTCTGTCAGATTCATAGTTTGAAAATAATTTCTCCTATTTTATAGGCTGTCTCTTTGTTTGCTGTACAGAAGCTTTTTAGCTTGATATATAATCCCGTTGCCCATTTTTGCTGGCTTTTTTTTTCTCCTCTCCACTCCACCAAGGTGGAGGTCTCACTATGTTGCTCGGTATGGTCTCAAACTCTTGGCCTCAAGTAATCCTCCATCTTTGGCATCCCAAAGTGCTGGGATTACAGATGTGAGTCATTGCACCTATCCTGCCTATGCTTTTGAGGTCTTTTTTTTTTTTGAGACAGTCTCACTATGTTGCCCTTGGTAGAGTGCCATGGCGTCATAGCTCACAGCAACCTCAAACTCTTGGGCTTAAGTGATTTTCTTGCCTCAGCTTCCCGAGTAGTTGGGACTACAGGTGCCCACCATAACACCTAGTTATTTTTTGGTTGCAGTTGTCATTGTTGTTTAGCAGGCCTGGGCCTGGCGCCGGGCTCAAACCCACTAGACTTGGTGTATGTGGCTAGTGCCCTACTCACTTAGCTACAGGCGCCAAGCCTGCTTTTGAGGTCTTAATCAAAAAATTCTTGCTTAGTCCAACTTCATGAAGCATTTCCCTTGTTCTCTTCTTGTAGTTTGAGGCTTATTAAGTCCAAAGGAAATCAGTATTATCAAAAGATATCTTCATGGCCTCTTTAACTACTTTGCCCTGGCAATGGAAGCCCATTCACCATCTGTGCGAATATATCCTTCTTTGTAAACTTTTTTACTCCGTAAATTTCTCTTTCTCTTCCTCTGTAAACTTTTCTTAGAGAAAGTGAGAGAGAGACATCTGCACATCCATGTTTACTGCAGCACTATTTACAATATCCAAAATATGGAATCAGCCTAAATGCCCATCTAATGGTGAATGGATAAAGAAAATGTAGTATTTCAGTAACATGGAGGAACCTGGAGGACATTATGTTAAGTGAATAAGCCAGGCACAGAAAAACACCACCTAATCTCATTCTAATTGACTTCATAGAAATAGAAATGAGGGCTCAGCGCCTGTGGCTCACGTGGCTAAGGCACCAGCCATGTACACCCGAGGTGGCGGGTTTGAATCCAGCCTGGGCCCGCCAAACAACAATGACGGCTGCAACCAAAAAATAGCCAGGTGTTGTGGTGGGCACCTGTGGTCCCAGCTACATGGGAGGCTGAGGCAGGAGACTTGCTTGAGCCCAGGAGTTGGAGATTGCTGTGAGCTGTGATGCCACAGCACTCTCCCCAGGGGGACAGCTTGAGGCTCTGTCTCAAAAAAAAAAAGAAATAG